CCAAAAAACCGGCTGAAATTCCTGAAAAACCGGCCAGAATTCCCAAAAAACCGGCCCCAATTCCCGAAAAACCGGCCCCAATTCCCAAAAAACCGGCTGAAATTCCTGAAAAACCGGCCCGAATTCCCAATAAACCGGCCGGAATTCCCGAAAAACCGGCCGGAATTCCCAAAAAACCGGCTGAAATTCCCACATTTCCGGAGAGAATTCCCAAAAAACCAGCCAGAATTCCCAGAAAACCGCCAGAATTCCTGCATTTCCAGCCACAATTCCTGGATTTCCAGAGAGAATTCCCACAATTCCATAGAGAATTCCCAGAAAACCGGCCAGAATTCCCAGATTTCCAGCCAGAATTCCCAAAAACCGGCCAGAATTCCCAGAAAAACGAACAGAATTCCCGGATTTCCAGAGAGAATTCCCGGAAAACCAGCCACAATTCCCAGATTTCCAGCCAGAATTCCCAGAAAACCGCCAGAATTCCCAGAAAAACGAACAGAATTCCTGCATTTCCAGCCACAATTCCCAGACTTCCAGCCACAATTCCCAGATTTCCAGCCAGAATTCCCAGAAAACTGCCAGAATTCCCACATTTCCAGAGAGAATTCCCGGATTTCCAGCCAGAATTCCCAGAAAAACGAACAGAATTCCCAGATTTCCAGCCACAATTCCCAGACTTCCAGCCACAATTCCCAGATTTCCAGAGAGAATTCCCAGAAAACCGCCAGAATTCCCGGATTTCCAGAAGAATTCCCACATTTCCAGCCACAATTCCCGCATTTGCAGAGAGAATTCCCAAAAAACCGCCAGAATTCCCAGAAAAACAAACAGAATTCCCAGATTTCCAGCCAGAATTCCCGGATTCCCAGCCCAGAATTCCCAGATTTCCAGAGAGAATTCCCAGATTTCCAGCCAGAATTCCCGGATTTTCTGCCCAGAATTCCCGGATTTTCAGCCCAGAATTCCCAGAATTCCCGGATTTTCTGCCCAGAATTCCCGGATTCCCAGCCCAGAATTCCCGGATTCCCAGCCCAGAATTCCCGGAATTCCCAGCCCAGAATTCCCGGAATTCCCAGAATTCCTGGATTCCCAGCCCAGAATTCCCGGAATTCCCAGCCCAGAATTCCCAGAATTCCCGGATTTTCCGCCCAGAATTCCCGGATTTTCAGCTCAGAATTCCCAGAATTCCCGGAATTCCCAGAATTCCTGGATTCCCAGCCCAGAATTCCCGGAAT